GAGGTTTTTATACGGAGCTTTCCAGAACAAAGCTACGGGCACGGCCACACGATGGCCAGAGATAAACACGGGGACCCCCGCACCCCGAAACCGGGGGGCACAAAGGGCTCTGCGACCCCCCCGCACCCCAAAACCGGGGGGCACAAAGGGCTCTGCGACCCCCCCCGCACCCCGAAACCGGGGGGCACAAAGGGCTCTGCGACCCCCCCGCACCCCAAAACAGGGGGGCACAAAGGGCTCTGAGACCCCCCCAAACCCCAAAACAGGGGGGCACAAAGGGCTCTGCGACCCCCCCGCACCCCGAAACCGGGGGGCACAAAGGGCTCTGAGACCCCCCCGCACCCCGAAACCGGGGGGCACAAAGGGCTCTGCGACCCCCCCGCACCCCAAAACCGGGGGGCACAAAGGGCTCTGAGACCCCCCCCGCACCCCGAAACCGGGGGGCACAAAGGGCTCTGAGACCCCCCCCGCACCCCGAAACCGGGGGGCACAAAGGGCTCTGAGACCCCCCCAAACCCCAAAACCGGGGGGCACAAAGGGCTCTGCGACCCCCTCCGCACCCCAAAACAGGGGGGCACAAAGGGCTCTGAGACCCCCCCGCACCCCGAAACCGCCCTCACAGCGTGGGGGGACACAAAGGGGTCTGGGGGTGTCCCCAACCTCCCCCCCCCCCCATTATGCACAGCCCAAAGTTGGGGGGGGGTGACAGAGGGGACATTGGGGTGTCCCCACACTGGGGTGTCCCCACACTGGGGTGTCCCCACACTGGGGTGTCCCCACACTGGGGTGTCCCCGCATTGGGGTGTCCCCACATTGGGGTGTCCCCACCTTGGGGTGTCCCCACATTGGGGTGTCCCCACATTGGGGTGTCCCCACCCTGGGGTGTCCCCACACTGGGGTGTCCCCACGCCCCCTCGCTGTCCCGTGAGGTGGCAGAGGTGGCACAGAGGGACCCCCGTGTCCCCCCCTCATCGCCAGCCGCTGTCCCAGGTGACGGAAGGGGACACGGGGGTGACCCCAGCGCCCCGCGGCCGCTGCCCGAGGTGACACGAGGGGACAAACGGTGCCCCCCGGTGCCGCCGGTGCCGCCGGTGCCGCCGGTGCCGCCGGTGCCGCCGCCGCTCAGCCGCTGTCCGAGGCGGGCCGGGGGCTGTCGGGGGCGGCGCGGGGGTCGCGGCTGGGGCTGCAGGGGGCGGTGGCCGCGCTCGGCCGCGGCGTCCCCGAGGTCCCCGATGTCCCCGGTGTCCCCGGTGGTCCCGGTATCCCCGGTGGTCCCGGTATCCCCGGTGGTCCCGGTGTCCCCGGTGGTCCCGGTGTGCCTGGTGGCCGCGGTGCTTGTGACAGTCCCGCTGTCCCCGGTGTCCCCGGTGTCCCCGCTGTCCCCGGTGTCCCCGGTGTCCCCGCTGTCCCCGCTGTCCCCGCTGTCCCCGCCGGCCCCGGTGGCCGCGGCTGGCCCAGGGCCTGGCTCACCAGCCCGGGCAGGGCCAGCAGGCGCAGCCCCAGCGCCTCCAGCTGCGCCTCCAGGGCCCCCAGGCGCTTCTCCAGCTCCTCGTGGCGCTCCTGCAGCTCGGCCAGCAGCTCCGACATCAGCGCCTGCGTCTGCTCGGGGCAGGACAGCCCCAAAAACCAGAACAATGGGGGTCTGGGCTCAGGGATGGACCCAAAAACCAGAACGGGGGTCAGGGACAGCCCCAAAAACCAGAACGGGGCTCAGGGACGGACCCGAAAACCAGAACGGGGCTCAGGGATGGACCCAAAAACCAGAACGGGGGTCAGGGATGGACCCAAAAACCAGAACAGGGGTCAGGGACGGACCCAAAAACCAGAATGGGGGTTTGGGGTCAGGGATGGACCCAAAAACCAGAATGGGGGTCAGGGATGGACCCAAAAACCAGAACAATGGGGGTCTGGGCTCAGGGATGGACCCCAAAAACCAGAACGGGGGTTTGGGGTCAGGGATGGACCCAAAAACCAGAACAGGGGTTTGGGGTCAGGGATGGACCCAGAACTCCACAACAGCAGGATTTGGGTCAGGCATGGCTCGGGACGGTCCAGGGCAGCTGTGACCCCACAGATCCGGGGGTTCAGGGCAGCTGTGACCCCACAGATCCGGGGGTTCAGGACAGCTGTGACCCCACAGATCCGGGGGT